TTCTACACAAGCAGGTTTCAACTCAAACGGAGCACCTTTTCACCCAAGCACTAACCCCAAACAAACAGCTTTTAAACTAAATTTTACATTTTAAAATGACAATACCAGGCAGTCCCAGGTCTCTCTCCCAGCTCTCTAACTGCTTGGACTAGCAAGGAAGCCGACAACCAGCCTCTTCACTAACTGAAAGTTTGAATTTCCCCACTTTCCCTGCCTTCCCCGCATATTAGGTATGCTAATATCTGTGCACTGGAGGATTGTGGGAGGAACATCCAGCCCCTGATGGGGGTCCTGTGGGGCACCCCAAAACATTGAGTAGCTCTCTTGGCCTCTTTCGGGACTGGGGCTGTGCAGCCCTGTTCTGATCAGGAGTTGCAGCTGGGGGGTCACCATGCCTTTGGGGGACAGGGCACAGAAAGGGGCAGGAGGTTCAGAGGCCATTCCAACTCATATCTGGCAGGGGAGATACCATGATCATCAAAGTGGTTTTCCCAGGGTGAGGCTCATCTATTGCACTTTGGGTATGCTGACCCCTGTGATTTCCCCAAATATGGGAAAATCAATTGCCTAAGTGGGGGACTGTGTTTGTGGTTTCCCCTGTTTTTTCTAGAATTACTTTCCCCTTTTGTCCTTGGCTGTTTTCACTGCCTGCTGCCAGAGGCCTGTTGGCCTTGCTGGTTTTCCAGGTGGGCTCCAGGAAGCAGATCCTAGAAAGCCAGCAGTGCAGAATGGTGAGGTCCAAACAGCAAGCAGCCTCTGGTGCTAGTTCAGAGGTCTCCCAGCATGGCAGTGGGGGGGCTTCTGGGCAGTGGTGGTTGAACCCCTTTTTTACTGTATTCGTTCCATAAGACGGACATACTTTCCCCCCCTCTATTTGGGGGGGGAGAGCGTCTTATGGAGCAAAAAATACAGTATATATTTGGTTGTCTTCAGTAGAGATAAATAGAAGAAATAAATTATAACACTTAACTACACTCATATTTGCACTTCTGCTGAAATTTTTCTCTATATGCAGTGTGGGGCTTGGGAACATGTTGTCAATCTCAACTCAATATATGCCTTCTACATGCTGAATGAAGTTCTGTGGGCAAGGGCTCAATCCATACAAACTTCTGAAACTTTAGGAGCCCTTATTCAACTATGACATTAAAATATATACACAGCACCAGAAACCATTGCATGAACCTCACATGGGGCAGAATTAACAGTGGAATCCTAGTCCCACTGCACGAGAGTAATTTCACAGGACTACAAACATATTCCACTTTTGATTCCCACAGTTAAAATCTATCTTCCAAGAATATCCAGAAAAGCGGTTGTGGGCTACATAATTACAACTCAATTACATCCCCAAAATTTTAATAACAAAATTACAGAGCCTTCAAGACATCAGATTACATCCAATTAAGTGTGAACAAAGCTAGCACAAAATGATTTCCCACTCTTTTTCTACACAAATCATGCACCTGCCAACACTCCATTCATGAAAGTCTTTTCTGCCAAATTGTCTCCCTTTGCCCCACTCACAAAACAAGATATCCACTCCACATTCCAAGGCTCTTCCCACACCTCAGATTCAAAAAATAAGGGAACTCACCTTCTATATACCATTGAATGAATCTCAATATGCATATGAATAACCCAATGTATTATTGAACGGAAGAGCAAAAAAATTAATTACATGTGTATAAACTAAGCCTGAATCAAATATTACAAGATCAAATTCTTACACTGTACTGCTCCAGGTTCTTCTCTTTGTTAGCTTCTGTATCTTCTAAATCCTTGTGTATAGCTGCTATCTGCCGTTTTTTGTCATTGATAGCTTGATCTAGGGATTTGAGTTCTTTTTTAATCCATTTATCTCTTTCTTCTTTAGAAGTAAACTGACTTCCTCGACCTTGCTTTGCATAAAGATCTGTTCTTTCCTGGGTAGCCTGTGCCAGTCTGTTTGAAGAAAGAAAATAAGACTATAATTGTTTTAAATTGACATGTTATGAACATATGATGTAACCAATCAATATGAATTAGTTCTGCATCACAGAATGAAGGAACCTTTTCAAGAGACCCTCATATTTCACTTTTTAAAAAATTAAAACTTGAGAATGTTTTCACAAGTTTCCTGCTAATCAAACAAGCCCCACAATGCGGTGAGGACAAAATTTTGAGCAATATACTTAACACAACTCTTGAATAACCCTTTTCAACTTGGTGCCCTTCAAGCGTATTGGGCTACAGCTGCAATCACTCCTCCAGCCAGCACAGGCAGCACAACAGCTGAACACAGTGGGAACTATAATTCAATATATCTGAAAGACACCTGTTTTGGAAAAGCACAACTTCTATACTTTCTACTGCCTTTCTGTATTTGCCATAATTATATGATGCCAAGTTGCTTTCAAATTATGGTGATCCTAATAAGAGTTTTGAAGTATGTAAAATGTTCAATGGGTTGGTTACCTTTCCCACTACCCAGAGCTCCTGAGTTCTAATCTGACACTTCTGTCCATTACACCATACTGACTATCTCCTCTAAAGGGATGGTTTTCTTCTTATAAATGCTTAACTCCCCCTTTCTCTCTTAATCCCAACTGTCATGCCCTCTAAAATTTTGCCCAGAAAGGAATGTTGCCTCAATGGTCCTGGAAACCTCTAGGAAGTGCAATTAACCTTTTCTAAAGTACTATTTCTCTTCCCCTTTCCTCTTCTCTCTCATATATATGGATTTTTTGTTTAACATGTATCAAAGCAAAAACATAACTCCCCCAAACATTTCTCAAAATCATTTTTGTTCTCCTCAGTTTTTGGCCCCAGGAGATTCTGAGAACAGAAAATTGGCTTCTGGACTACCAAATTGCCTGCCACATAGATCTCTCCCAGTTTCTTCAAAATAGAGATGCCTGGATACATAAGAACATTTCTCACTGAGTAGTTCCATTTCACAGCAGACATCAGGGTCGCTAACCACCACACCAACCTGGCAATTCCTCGCTCTTCTTTTTCTTTCACACTGTTGAACTTGGGTTCGGTTTCTGCCAGTTCTTTCTGTTTTTCTTCAATTTTCTCAAGAAGTTTCTGCCTCTCTTTCAACAGTCTTTTCTGAAAATAAACATATTATTAAGGTCAACAATGTTAAACCAGTGTTTTCCAACCTGGGGGTTGTGACCCCCAGGGGGTTGGCAAAGTCTTTTCTGAGGGGTTGTGGGTCATCTTATATGTATTATAGCCCTTGTCAAATAATTTCTTCCTTTACCTTTCATAGTGGGATATGAAAGTTACCACATACTATATGCATATGTATGAGAGTAAACTGGCCCTTTGGAGGACAAAGAAACCTCTACTTTCTGAGAAGGGATTACTTTACCCAATTAAAAAGGCCTTTTTATGCAAATATGGTGGTGGTGTGTCACAGGTTACTTGGCTATTATAAAAGGGAGGGTCACAACTCAAAAAAGTTTGGAACCACTGAGTTCAACATTTTACTAGCAAACTTTTTGTGAGAAAGAATTAACTAGAGTACTAGAAATTACATATTCAGTAATAGTTTTGTCCTATCATTTACAACTTACCTATCTTTGAAACAATGCATGCAATTCTGACTTTTACAGAAGTACTCTGAGACCCTGCAGACTACAATTACATTATTTACAATTAGTTCTATGCCCTTACCCTTTGTTCACTATTTCCAGCCAGTTCATCTTGTAAGTCTTTTGCTTTAAGTTCTAGTTTAGTCCTCTGTTTTATCTGTTCTTGCCTTTCAGCACTGAGCTGCTCCTTTTCTTCTTTCATTGCTGAGATCTTGGTTTTCAGTTCACGGACTTGCCGTTCAATTTCCTACACAAAAATGAAACACATCAAGAAAAGACTGAAGAAATGCAGCAAGTGGCATACTATTTTTAAAAAGAACAATTTTTCTTAACTAATAATAGTCAGCTGGCTGGATGGGCAGTGATTTAGGTATCTGGCAGTGGAGCCAGAAGCTGGGAATTCGACTCCCTACTGCACCTCCCGGAAGAAAAGCCAGCCTGCATGGCTTTGGTCAAGTTACAGTCTCAGGATGCCTCCAGAAGAAGGGAACAGTAAACCACTTCCACGTACTCTCTACCTGGAAAACCCTGAAAAGGGTCACCAGAAGTCAGACTCAACTTGACAGTATGCAGTTATTATTATTCCTTAGTAACAGTGAGCATGCTGAGGATATTTACATAAATGATTAAAAATCAGAGTTATATCTTCCAATGTGACCTCCATTCATGGTTCATGATATAGATGGAAATGCAATAGGATGCATACATTAAATATAATAATAAAAACAATTCTCCATCCCACCTAGTCTTAGGTTACCAGTGAAGACAATACTTTCTTGCCTGTAACCAAACATGAATTAAGGCCATAGTACAATAGTAGCAACTATTTTTAAGATGAGAACTATTTGAATAACATGAATCTTACCTCCATTTTATCTCTTGCATCCTGCTGTGCATCTCTTAATTGTCTTGATTTTTCTCCACTTGTTTCTCGTTTGGCAGAAAGCTAAAATATGTAATTCAATCAGTAGTTTTTAAATAACCTTTTTACACTTCTGAACTATAATATACAGAATAAATAATGGAACAAAGAAACAGTAATTAGTGGGAATTTCAAAAAAAATGGCTTACCTCATCAAGTTTAGCACGAGTTTCATTCAGTTCCTGATTATAAATAGTGTATTCCAGCGCTCGCCTCATTTTATCCCACTTTTGATATTGAGCTAGTTCTTCTTTTTCCTCTTCCAAAGTATGCAATCGTTCTTCAATATACTTCAGCAACTCGTTTATCTTCTCCCTTTTTCCCTCTTTAAATATTATTTAAAAGAAGGTTAATGATCAAATTACTACAAAGAAGTAAAAAGAGTTAAAACTAATTTGTACAGGCAATATCTCCTTAACCTATCATCAAGTAGACCCCTCCCTGCAAGTAACCAGATTCTAGAAGTGTTTTCAACCAATGCACTTATCTAGAGAAACCAATACACACAGTTTATTGTTGTTTTCAATGCTTATGTAAAAAAACCAACCAAAAAGCAACATGATTTTTTCATTTTCAAAATTAACAAAAATCAATAGTTATTATCATTAGAACTGAATGTAAATAGAAACACTTATTCATTCATTCATTCATTCATTCATTCATTCATTCATTCATTCATTCATTCATTCTATTTATACCCCATTTTTTTGGTCATTTCGACCACTCCAGGCGGCTTACAACATACAAACATAACAAATATAAAGAAAAAAATCATGTTTATTTAATCTTAATCATATTCACTTAATCATATTCATTGGAGTATGTCTGTTATTTTGTGGTGGGGTATCATCCAAGACCCCGTTATGGATTGCTGCCTTATCGTGGCGAAGGGGCTTGAGTAATTCAGAGAAGCTATGGGCTATGCCGTGCAGGGACACCCAAGACGGACAGATCATAGTGGAGAGTTCTGACTAAACGCGATCCACCTGGAGCAGGAACTAGTAAGCCACTCCAGTATCTTTGCTGAAAAAATTCCATGACCAGAAACAAAAGGCTAAAATATAGGATGCTGGAAGAGGAGCCTCTCAGGTCGGAAGGCATCCAACATGCTATTGAGAAAGAGTGGAGGACAAGGATAAATAGCTCCAGAGCTAATGAAGTAGTTGGGCCAAAGCTGAAAGGATGCTCAGCTGCGGACGTGCCTAGAAGTGAAAGGAAAGTCCAATGCTGCAAAGAAAAATACTGCACAGGAACCTGGAATATAAGATCTATGAACCTTGATAAGCTGGATGTGGTCAAACAGGAAATGGCAAGAATAAACATTGACATCCAGGGTGTTAGTGAACTAAAATGGAAGGGAATGGGCAAATTCAATTCAGACGATTATCCTATCTACTACTGTTGCCAAGAATCCCATAGAAGTAATGGAGTAGCACTCATAGTAAACAAAAGAGTGGGAAAAGCTGTACTAGGATACAATCTAAAAATGATAGAATGATTTCAATACAAATCCAAGGCAGACCTTTCAACATCACAGTCATCCAAAGTTTATGCACCAACCACCAATGCTGAAGAGGCTGAAATTGACCAATTCTATGAAAACTTACAACACCTTCTAGAACTGATGCCAAAGAAACATGTTCTTCTCATTATAGGGGACTGGAATGCTAAAGTAAGGAGTCAAGAGATAAAAGGAACAACAGGTAAGTTTGGCCTTGAAGTTCAAAACGAAGCAGGGCAAAGGCTAACAGTTTTGTCAAGAGAACAAGCTGGTCATCACAAACACTCTTTTCCAACAACACGAGAGGCAACTCTACACATAGACATCACCAAATGGGCAATACTGAAATCAGATTGATCATGTTCTCTGCAGCCAAAGATGGAGAAGCTCTATATAGTCAGTGTTACATACAGCACTGATGTTACCTGTCTGTCATGGGTTTGGAGGGAAAGTTCCATCCTATGGGGAGTGGAAGGCGGGACATCAGGAGGAGGGGCTGTACTGTATATATAGGTGAAGCCTGTGTGGAGGAGTAGAGGCTGGGATGTGAAGAAGCAGCAGCTGGGAAGAAGAAGCTGGTGTGGGAGTCTGTGTGTCAGACAGGGTACTACTGTGTGCCAGTACCAACCTGATAGGTTCAGGTGTCTGTATGGTTAGCCAGAACTGATAGGTTCAGGGTCTGTGCTTCAAGTTAAGGGTTCTGTGTGAACCAAACTGTATGCATGTATGAATGAGACTAAGCCACGTTACTATATCTTATTCACCTGATCATTTTATTTTCCCTGTGTGTTGTTTTAAATAAACCTTATTCTTTTATTTGTTGAAAATCCATCCCTGGTCTGTGTGACTTCTTACAGGGAATGGTTGGTGGCAGCTTAGTTAACGTGTGGCAGATCCCAGTAGGTCTGGGTTTGTCACATTGATTGGTGTCCAGCGTGTGGGATACGACTGGTCCAGTTGTCCAGCGGTCCAGCAAAGCCTTGGCAAGTGTGCCCAGAGCAAGGGGGGTCTAGTCAGGGACAATCTGAGAGCGCGTAGGTAATCTTCTAGGCGTACCTCACGGGGAGGTGCGCTAGTGGAAGAACGTGCCAACTGGGGACTAGATTAGGGAGCTCTGAGGCAACCTGTTTT